GGGCAAAAATTTTTTAGTAATGTTTTAATATAGTTTTAATTTACAGTAGCGTATTTGTATGGTGAACAAACGGACAGGACATCAGCTTTGTTACTTTCTCTTTATTTTCTCTTTACCTTTAATAAATTTTTTGTCTAAAAATTGTTTATCCAATCAATCCAGGGGGGGGCAAGTGCCCCCCTTGCCCCTACCTGCGGGCGCCCATGGTTGGGGGGGGGCTGTCTCTCCTGGGCGGCCCTTTTTTCCTCAGTCAATTTTTATTGTGAGAGAGAGGCATTTCGGAGGCTGCAGATTTTTTTCGTGGAATGGGGCGGCAAAATCCTTGGTCCATGCGGAACTAACCCTAGCTACCCCACTGAATTAACTTTAGGAAAAAGAAAGCAGGCCTATCAGTGTCACCTTACCTATCATCTATAATGTGACCCTCCGCGACAGTTTCGGTAGAATCTCACCGACTAGTTGTATAATTCTGATTTTATTAAGTTTATATTATATATGTTTGAATGTTGATTAAAATGGTAACAACTGGTTCAAAACCGAACTAAAAGTTTATTTTATGAGACAAACATGGCCAAAGTGCGGTAAAAAGTCAGTTAGTGCGTAATGCACAACCATAATTGTGGAAATCGTAGCAACTTGACACAGTATCAAAGAATCCCTATTACAATTGCTGCCACTTTTAACGAGTGAGGGAAATTCTGAGCATGTCATATCTTGGTTCCATTTCAAAATAAGGATTAGTCAAAAAAGGCCCTTTTCTGCGATAAAAAAGCAAAATTCATTCTCCCTACAATAGCATCTTCCATCGCATCAATAATTAATAAATATTGCCTGCCCCTGCCTACTGTTTGAACACGTTTAAGCCTTCAAGAAGGATAAGTGGTTGTTCCTATACTAAGTGATCCCAAATGGCTCACGGACTTGGCTTTTCTTGTTGACATTACACAGGAGCTGAATGTACTCAACAAGAAGTTACAAAGATCAGGTGTAGATTGTCCGTGTTGCCTATGACAATGTCGCGGCAATCTGCACAAACTTGCGTTATGGTTCTTTGAGAAACCCCTGCCATTTCCCAAAATAAAAAGTAGGCCTACTCATAGAGTCAGGAACACCATTCAGTAGTGAGTATACTGATGCCATTGCAGAGCTAGAGGAAGAGTTTGAGGACACATGTTTGTTAGACTTCGAAAGACACAGAGACACTTATCAACTTTTTGCGGATCCTTTCTTCTTTAATACCCCCCCCCCCTCTCCCTTTTTTTTTTTCCAACTCCCCACTTGCGCTTTAAATGGAGCTGATTGAATTTCAGTGCAATGCTAAGTTCAGGGAGTGAATGGAGAAACAGACGAGCATGGACAATTAATGAGAGCATTGCCCTCCACCTTCACTGAGATTTCCAGTTTGCTTTTTTGGGAGTACCTATCTGTGTGAAAAGATCTTTTCCAACTATGAAATTTAACACGACCACGATCTTTGGCAACTAAGAGTAGGCGGAAGAAAGTGAAGCCTAGTTCGTGAGAACTCTTAATGTTTTATTTTGTTATCAATAAAGGTTGAGCAGATTGTTCCCGTTGTACTTTATTGACTTTGTAATCGTTTTTTTTTTTTAACTTGATGCGGCTCAGTATCACTCAGACTCTACCTCCTGCGGCCCCCGCATGATTTGAGTTTGAGACCCCTGGGCTAGAGTTTTAATTTTAATTGTTTTTTAATCAGAAAGCGGTGTTTTATTTTTATTACGTTTGAAAAATTGGAAAGAAACACTGATAGGTAGAGAAACAATGACTTAGAAACGGCATAAATAAATGTTTACAAATAAATTAGATTTAGTAGACAACATCAGTTCGCCAGTTAATCAAATGTGTGGACGATAAAATAGTGTCACTTCAGAAAACGTAAACTTAAAATAAAAATATGTGCACACAATTTTATCCAGTCCAACATCTTTAAAACAAAATGGCGGATAGGTAGTGTTTCTGTTGACTTCTTTTTTATTTCCTCACGCGGAAAATCTAATTAATATTAATTATTAAGTGCATTTAAATTTATTCCTAACGTTAATAAATAAATTTTAAGTCTAATATTACTATTTCTACTGATACTTTGCTAGAGTGAGCAAGTCAACAACAGACACTGTACTGTACTGCTGTACTGACAAACAGCAATCATGAATCATAGTTACAGAATTGTAAGTCAAGTGACTTACTGTCAATGGTCAAACTTAGTAAAAAGTGTTGTACTTGTTGCAATCAATCACTTCAATCACTAGTAGTCTCTGAGTAGTATACAAACAGTGACTATAATAGACTAGAATGGGAATACACTTTACTGTGACAACAGTTTCAGGTACAGACAAATTAATGTCAATTGATAGCAGTGCCACAACTGAAACTGAATGGCATGGCAACAGCAATGCACTGCAATGGCAATATTTTGATTTAAAATGCAGCTACTTTTAATAAAAATCAACCTCACAGAATAAATTAGTCACTAATAATTTCAATAATTTTAATAAACTTAAAGGAATAGGCCTACAAGTAAAAGGGGTGTTCATTTGCATTGAATATACTAGGCCAAAATTTCAGAATACTTTTTATCTAGATTTATACCCTGGATTTGCCTTAGTAATACATATGAATTATGAATGATTACCAAACATGTCATTGTTTAATGTTACCACCAAACATGACCTGGACCTGATGTACACCAGCCCAACACCATCATAGATTGGTTTTTATTTAACTTCATTCCTGAAGACATAAGTCATAAGGCATATCTTGAGCAACATGCCATTCAAGTTGGAAGGTTTGTTAACAATCATGGGAAGCCTGTGGAAATCTTGGAAAAAAAGTTTTTCAACTGAAAATTTAACGACTTGGTATTTTTAGCGGCGTTGTAAGGCCAACTGGAAAATTTATTTTCTTTTATTATAAACAGTCATAAAACGCCTAGGCTAGGGTGACCAAATGTCCCTTAAAAACGGGATGTCCCGTTTTTTCACGATCGTACCCGTTTTCCTGAAAAAGTCTCTCGGGACGCCTAAATTGCCTAAATGTCCCGTTTTTTAAACCGAACACATTTTCAAATCACTCAAAATTCCTAATTTATAATATAACTTCAAGTAATATTTTGGCTAGCTATGCTATGTGGCCATTGCCAGTAGTGATGTGGGCTCTCGTGATGGCTGCACTGTTCCCCCTCCACCACAGTGTCCCTGCCATAGATCTTCTTATATGTAAATGTATAGGGAAAGACACAAGACTTGAAGCCGTGGTGAGGGGGGGGGGAGTAGAGGATGTAACTTTGCAGAAAGCAATTGTGATTCTGCTACCACTATGTGTATTGTGTTAGTCTTGTGTGTGTAATCTCTGCCAACTTGTTCGTGTCAGAGTGACAGGTGTTTGTTTTGGGTGTTGAACTTTATTCTTTAATTTTATGTTATCCTCTCTTGTAGACAATAATTATGCCCAAGCGTCAATGCAAGTTTGTGGAGGAGCATTCCAAAGAGTGGAACTATATTAAAAAGGGGCGCTATGAAAGTGAAGCCAAGTGCACAGTTTGCAATTATGTTTTTAGTATTGTTAATGGTAGACGTTCAGACATAAAAGAACACATTACATCAGTAAAACATATGAAAAGACTGATTGCCCCAAGTAGATTTCTAGGTAAGATTTCATGGTTAAAATGAGCATATTCCAATGTAAAACAGTTTTCGGCGGAGGCCCCCCCCCCCCCCCTTTTAGCTGGAGGGTAATCCCCCTGCACCCCAAACCCTCCATGAAAGTGTCCAGTTTTTTCCAGTTCATGATTTGGTCACCCTAGCCTAGACCAAACTAGTACAGGTAACCTAAGGGTGAAATTAAAATTCTTGTATTTTAATTTCCCCCAGTCTTAACTTTGACTTTAGGTTTACTAAGTTTCATGGCTGAGGAGTACTGAATGGTGCAAAGATAAGCAGCAACAATAAGTCTTGGCAATAGTACAATTGGCATAAAGAAGTGGACAAGGATGTTTTTAAAGATCAGAAAAGTTTAAAGGAGCTAGAGAAGATTTGAAGAAACCAGAAGGTGTGGAAAGATATTTTTGGCTTTTGCCCCACTGGAAGTTCAATGAAAAAGCAAAGAATAAGAAGAAAACTGCTACAGATCACAATGTTTTGACAACCATTTAAAACATAGGAGGTTTAGCAGATGAAATTTACCATGGCCTTTGGGTGGTTATCCTAGGGTAACAGCTAGATTATCCTAGCTTATCAGCTAGAGTGAGTACACTGTGTAAGTGTAGATTTGGACAATAGGCATCAATACAATATCAGTGCTATAACCAATACCTCAGTACCAGACTGATATTTGGATGCAAGTATGGTACAATGAAAATTGTATTTAAGCTTAACTTTTATCAGTAATAAATTTCAAAGCATTTAAATTCACTATTAAAATAGAAATAAGTAGCAATGAAAAATGCTTTTGCCATTGAATATTTACACCAGGGTTCTCAAACTATGACCGTATTCGGCTTGCCAGGGGTCTTTAATCCGGCTTGCTTGGTTGGCATTTCTAGTTAGCAGCGACAATATGGAACTGATTATTAGTAATCTCATTAGACAAAAGCAGCCCCATACTTTTCTTTGAAATACTATCAAGTTTATATCTGATATATTTTCTCTTCATTTTAAATATGATTTTCTATTTCTTGGTTCAATTTGTTGTTTTTTCACTCCAAATGACACATGCTCAGTGTGCATAGAATCCATTCATATTTTTTCAAATTATAACCCGGTCGCCAACAATGTTTAAGAGACACTGATCCAGACCCAGTCAGTGTCTAGGGACACTGATCGAACCCCAGATGTACTCTTACTCTGTGCGCCTTGATCCTATCTGTCTCATTATTACCATAGCCTAATTAAACATGATAGCAATGTAAATATAAATAATGAGCCTATCTAGATGCATACCTTGTATTTGTTTATTGTAAGTAATTTATAAACTATTTTCACAGGCCTTTCTTGCATCTTATGAATGCATTTTTATGATTAGACTGATAATCAGCCAACTTATTTGAAAATACATGTCATAGTTTGTGATGTCTTAAACCTACCATGATACAATGGATATAGGCAAAGAATATTCTTCATGGGACACTTTCCAAAATGCACTTGAGCAATATTCAAAAGAGAATAAGGTAAATTAAATGTTATTTGTTAATTTTATTTGTTGTTGTTGTTGCTATTATAGCAATTCCTCAGAGTTAAAGATTTTGTCTACCAAAAAAAAAACAAACAAACAAATTCAACTTGCATGACTCTATTATCTAGTGTCTATTAAATTTTAAATACATTACTTAAAAGTTTTAAATAATTATGTGCTACATTCTGTTATTCAGACAGGATGTAATGTTTTTATCTTGAAAAGTTTTCTATGTTGCAAAAGCTTTCAAGTGTCTTAACAGATTAATTAACACAGTTGTACAGTTTTTAGTTGATTGAGAGAATAGCCACAGTTTTAATATTTATTAAGCTGCATTGTCATCATGTCATTCTTTCATCTTGACTTGTTACAGGTTGTCTATATTGTGGGTACCTGTAAACCGGTGGAGACAGCCAATAGAAATGATTCCCTGCAGTACAAATTTCCTCCCAAGTTCAAGTACTGCTTTGCCAGAATGTTGTGTAAACATTACGGCAACTACAGCAGCCGTAGTGTTGGCCATAGACCTCATCAGAGGTATAAGAAACCATTTTCTGACCTTTCTTTATGGGGTTATCATTTGAGATAGATATAAGTAGTACAGGTGCTATAATTTACAAAAATCAAGTGTGGTATTATTTGTGCAATGTCAGTTTTGTAAGCCGGGTGAATTATTTTTTTGAATCTTAATTTATCAGCACATAACTAACAAAAATATTTAGTTTTGATTATTCAAGCAGAAACAAGAGAAACAATTTCTTTAAATAATACATATCAAATGATAGGATTAACTCGTAATGGTTACTGGTATTCTAAAAAGGGTTGCTAATATCCACTGCAGCCTAAGTAAGTAATGCTATGTGAAGAGTTATTCTAGTATTTTCATTGAAGAGCCTAATACTGTTAATGTTTTTGAGATTTACGTATGGTTTACTTTCTCTTAAAACTTCTTTGGAAGATTGAATAAGCAACGAGACCTCAATGACCAACTCATTGTTTATTTATTTGATATAGACAAGATTTTAAAAAAATTATTTTTAATTTGTTTTGTTAATGATAGAAAATGCGTGTTGACAGATTTAACTTTTCAATCCCAGAACCTGCAAGACAGGTTGCACATCCTCCATCCTGGTGTCTGTCAACAAGAAGAGGACGGCCCTGGTCATCAAAGAAGCCAACCTGCAGCACACCCACGAAGTATCTGAAATCATTTTCAGTAAATATCCGCAAAATCGCCGCTTACAGGGCGAGGAGAGGCGCATGGCCAGTGTGTTGTTAAGAGCAGGAGTACCACTGAGCAGAGTGCAGGAGTTCATATCCAATTCTTGCAGCAAGGCTCCCACTATTAAAGATCTCAAGAATATCAAGACATCAATGAAGGGATCCTTGCCAGAGAAGGAGGGTCATGAGTTTGAATTTCTGACTGACCTTGACCTGCTCATGGCAGAGGACATGGAATCTGTGGTGGAAATCATTAATTTTGATCTCGTCCCCGGGGCCGTATATTTTCAAACCTCTGATATGTTTGAAAGGATTAAAACACTGCAAGGGGGGCAACTGCAGATCGTCACACTGCACATCAACGATGGGAAGATGTCCCTGGTCAGTGTTGTGGGCGTGGACAAAGATTTGAACAGCCAAACTCTTGCCTTCTGCATTATTATAGTTGGGGCTGAAGCTGCCTTCCAGTACTTTGTAGAAGCCTTTGTGAAAAACAACCAGTCCTTCTGTGACACGGTGACCGGGGTTGTACTCGACTGGTGTAAAGACAGTGCCGACTTCTTGCAGCAGCTGATTCCGCAAGCGGCCATTGCCTGGAGCAGATCGTACATCTTGGAAAGCTTCACTGAAGAACTCAAATGCAGTAAAGATATTCAGAAAATGTTGACATTATATAAAGAACTGATGAACGCAAGCAGCGAAAAAGTGTACGAGGACAGACTTAAAGATGTACTTGAATCAAAGTCAGCCACCGAATCTAAAGAATTCCTCAAGAAATGGGATTCCTGTAAAGAGTTTTGGGTTCAGTATGTAATTTCCTCAAGTGAGGGGCTTCAGCATCAACAATCAGCCGTTGAGATGGATTACATCAATTCACTGAGAGCTTTTGTCCAACCGTCCATGGGCTTGTCAGAGCTCATCAAAGCTTTGCTCAAGTTGGACAGAAATGAAGAACCTGATCCTGAGGAGGAGAAGAAGGAGCAGCTATGTTCAGACCCAGACCCCAGCTGTGATCTGTACAGACACCTGTGTTTTCCCCAGGCCTCGCTGGCAATAATAAACCAGATAGTTATTGCGCTCGGCAGTATGTACAATATTAAAATACAAACCGACATGATTTTTATAAATCGTGTTGACAATGAGGAAGAATTTATTCTAGACAACTCGGGCAGCAAATGTACTTGTCCGTATTTTATGGAAACAGATCTGCCATGTCAACACATATTTGCATGGCTCAAATTCTCTAACAAACCACTGTACAATGAAACATTAGTTCCAATCAGGTGGCAGGTGTTTGGCAAATCAATCACACTCGATGCCCTGGCAGAGTCCTTGAATCAAGGCCAAGTGCCATCATCATTCCATCATGACGAAAGGCTTAAAGAACTTCAGGGGGTTCTCAAGGACACCCTCAGCATCTGCTGCTCTCACTCATATCAACAGATGGGTCAAGACCTGGTCCTGCTTAAACAGATCCTTGCTGTTATGAGCAACTGTTCATCTAACAAAGCAAAGGTAGTCATGGACAAAGAGGAAGACAAACAGAATAATGTGGCTGCTGCGCAGTTAGAAACTGTTACCCCGCTGCCAAGACGGCGCGGGCGCCCAAGTAAAAAAGATAAACTTTTGCAACAGGAACAAAATGGCCAGCCTGCACACCCCAAAATGCCAACACCACCAGCAGGGTCCAGACACAACTTGCGTGCTAACATCAAGCATAAGTTTGTCACCCGTGAGGTTCACTATGATGCCAACAATAGCGATGACCCTGTGAGTAAAAAAATGAAGGATTTCATCACCGAAAATGACTCTGAAAACATCATCTCAACCATACCCAGCATAGACGGCACTGAGCTTCTCAGGACAATCGTGCCCAAAACTGATACAGCCAACACTTCTATTGTCCAGTTTGCAAAACTCGGCTCAGATCAAAAGCCTCACATGGATACAGGAGATGCCAAATTTTCTTCCTTAGAAGGTAAAGAAAATAATGTTTCCATTACAAAGTCAGTGAGGGGGCATGCATTTTCTAGACTTAAAGGTGCCAGAAATCTTTCCGTCTACAAGCAAAAACTTTACGATGGCTACCATGTCAGCACACCTCGCAGAGGGAGGAGGCCTTCAGCGTTGAAACTTGTTGATAGGAGGTCAAGGTCAGATGAAGAAAGTTCTGGGGACGATGATGATGATAATGAGGAAAACGAGGACAGTAATCATCCTGATGGAGCAGAGGCAGATGAAGCGAAGGAAGAAAATAGGACACAAGACCTGCAGTTTTATCTCAGGAGTATTTCTCAAGATACCTTGAATGAATTGATGCAAGCAGTTTCATTACTTGATCTACCTGAAGAGAAAGCCCTGGGTGATAAAGAGGGTAGCCCTACAAGCTCAGAATACCCAGCTGCTGTGTTGGTTAGGATGTGCAAGAACACAGAGGTAAGGAGATTCTCTTCAATATAGGCCAATCAGTTGAAGCTAACTTACAATGGTACTATGGAAATTACAACTTATCCATTCAATGAATTTGTGTTTATTTAATGCTTTTTACATAACCTATTTAAAATGTGTGATTAATTTGGTTACTTTAAATAAAATATAAGATTAAGTTGTTTACTTTAAAATATAAGATTAATTTGGTTACTTAACAATATAATAATTTTGTCACCTTAAAATATAAAATTAACCTGTTTCCTTCAAAATGTAAGATTAATTTGTTGACTTGAAAATATAAGATTAACTTGTCAATTTGAAATGAGAGATCAATTTAAATGTTGAAAACACTCTAAAACTCTAAAATTTTAACCACTCTTAACAATCACCGTCTGGACACTGCAACAATTATGTTTATTATACTCTCACTTGGGGCACAACAGTGAAACCCTGAAACACTTGAGGGGCCTGTCAACTAATAAATAGATAGAGGAGCAATTTAAGTCCATCAGTTTGATTTCTGTTTCTAAACAGTCTTTGAGAACGTCATATCGATCAGAGGCTTCAAACACATAAGTTTTAAATTTCTATATTTTTTTTTGTTCTTTCTTGTTTTCGTCTTGTCTGCTGAAGAAGGTGTTAAGCGGAAACGTTCTTGAAGTTGTCCTATCTTTTTTTATGCAAGCCTAAACATATCTTTTTCCAGTAGTTATTGACTTTGCACGGCTTGAAGCAGTCCCGCACCTCTTGTCTTGTGAAATAAATAAGTAAACTTAACTGATCTACATACCTAAAATATTTTATACTTGTTCTTTAATCTATATGAAATGAAAAAGAATATTTTATGGTTAAAATTTAAAACTAGCAATAGTTTAGACTAGTGGTTCCCTTAGGACTCGACTTGCACTTCTGAGGGGCTCTAAACTGCTGTTGCTACTACAGGAAACTCCTAAATACATTAACTAGTAAGGCATATAATAAGCCAAAGGGGCTCCCCCATAGAAATTGATTCTAAAAATGGACCCCACAAGTCAAAAAGGTTGAGAATCAGTTATTTAGACAGTGGTAAGAAAAATATTAATTGATATCAGATTTAGATGGATTATTTGAACAAGCCCGTATTTTTAGGCTGTTGAAACATGAGTTACTACAGTTAATAATTTAAGTCAATGCGTTGATCCATTCCATTCAACTAAATACTGTGCTTATTTCTTTTACAGATGATGGAATCAATTGTCGACCACATCAAACAAAATTGTTTCTCTTATGACAAGTTCATCTATCAGGTGTCAGCTTGCATTATCTATAGATCCTACCAGACAGGTGTTGCCATCAGTGACCTACTACAAACAGTCAGCTACTGGCCCAATCATCTCCCAGAGTTCCCAGCTGCTCGGCCATTGGACGGAGAGCTCACCCTAGCGGAGGGCCAGGTTCTCAGGCTTGGTGGATACAAGCTTCAGCAAGCTGATATGGACACATTAAAAACTGGGGAGGAGCTTAGTGTTAAGGTAAGTTCATCAAGCACAGAATTTTAGGGAAAATATTTTCATCAAATTCTAGAGAGGTGGACCAAATAAGGTCTATTTTTAAAATAATTTTATCTATTAATGTAAGTCAGCATGCAAAAAATACACATTTGCAGATCGTAGACCAGTGAAACAGTACACAAAGGGAAAATTATTCTATAATTAAAAGCTGTTTTAGTCTCATCAACGTTTTCCTTGATTAGAGTTGAGACTGATAATTTAATACATTAAATGTTAAGTGAAATGATTGGGCTTTTTATATTTTGATTTGATGTCTCAGGTTTTGCATGCCTACCTGGAAGTCCTGGCCCAGAAACACAGCGGAAAGATGTTTCTCATTCCCTATGATGTGGTGCATTCTTGGAGGAGTGGCAACTACATTGATAGGGTATTTAAAAAGGTCAGTTTTGTCAGGTATTGAGTTAATTCCCATTAAAATGATTGTTTTTATTCATTGTTTCCATATACCTGAATATTTTAACATGTAAACTCAACATAACCATTTGTTGCTTTTGGAATTTTCTTCTCCCTGAGATAAAACCATTTTAAACAAAGTTTTCTTACTTACTTACCAGCCGGTTGCTGTTACACTGCCAGCCGGTTGCTGTTACACTGCCAGTTTTATTTGGGACAATTTTTCTTTCTTTCTTGTTTTCCCTGTAAAACAAATCCCCCCAATGATCTGGAAACAAATTGAGTTTCATGCATTTATCTAATAAAAATTTATGGAACACCCCCTGAGCTATAATTTTTGTTCTGTCTTTGAATGAATTCAAGTTTTTCCTTTCTCATCAGGTTCATTTAAAAACATTTGAGTACTTGGTCCTTCCCATCCACTGTGGAGCTGAGTTTACCGAGTCAGAAAGACAGTCCAGTGATATACCAGAGCCCTGCTGGATGGCGCTGGTGGCAGATGTCAAGAAAAGGACAGTGGCCATCATGAACCCCAAGACAGATGATAAATATGCCATAGCCGCTAATGGCTACATGCTACAGTGGAGGTAGGACACCTGGGAATCCGGTGAAATTTATTATTAAACTTTCATATGACCCGGACATTAGATCACATCTCAGCTTCACAAGAAACGGGAGACATGGATTAACTAAAGTCTTATTATTCGTCACAGAATTGGGGAATAGGTTGAAAAATAATTATGATATCAAAAGTTTATTATCACCAGTATTATTGTGAACAGAAGAAAGTTTATTTTGATAGCACATGCTTTAATAAGATGTTTACTTTTTGAAAATGTCGTAAAACTCAAATTTTGCCACCAAGTATCATTTTTATGATCCTCCTAAGAGTTATTTAAAATGAACAGATCTTAGTTCCCTCTAAGATGTAAGAGAAAGGACTCACTTCACTTCCATAGGATGATTTCATAATCTCTCCTACAGAACTCCATCCCTCTGTGTTTTGTGTTTACAGAATTTACATTGCTTAAATTCATATATTTTCTGACTTTTTCCCCAGACGCTACATGCAGATTCGTTCAGTCCACACAGGAGAGATGTTGTGCAGCTGGAGCACCCACCAAATAGAGTGTTGTAAAATAGAGAAAGATCATTGGTCAGGGATCCATCTTCTCATGGTCAGTCAGCTTGTTTCTTAGAGACACTTTTTTTTTAAAACTTTGTTTTCTTGGCCAGTTATGGAAATCAACAAAATGCTGTTGTGATATATTGTTACACAAAAAATTAGCATGTCTTTAGTCTTCAAAGAAAATGGTGACGCTGTGAGGTCATTTTGCACTTATCATGTAGAGTTTTTTTTTAAATGTTAACATTAAAACAAAAAAAAGTTTTTAAAAAAACTAAACAAATAATTTCAAAGCCCTCCTCAAAACTTTGAGAGTCAAGGCTAAAAAAATATTTCTATCTGAAGATATCAATTTCACAGCTTACCTCAAAACCTTAGCGCCAAGGCTAAAGAAAGTACTAGCTTTCTTGGAAATCTAAAAAATGAAAGTCATGATAGAGCCAAGGCTAAAGAAAATACTAGCTGAACTTGGAAATCTAAAAAATGAAAGTCATGATAGAGCCAAGGCTAAAGAAAATACTAGCTGAACTTGGAAATCTAAAAAATGAAAGTCATGATAGAGCCAAGGTTAAAGAAAATACTAGCTGAACTTGGAAATCTTAAAAATGAAAGTCATGATAGAGCCAAGGCTAAAGAAAATACTAGCTGAACTTGGAAATCTAAAAAATGAAAGTCATGATAGAGCCAAGGCTAAAGAAAATACTAGCTTAACTTGGAAATCTAAAAAATGAAAGTCATGAAAAATTACTACAGCTAGGAAGCATTTAATAAATATTTGTACACTTAGATTGGTGGATTAATTTATGTGCCTATTTATTCTTGCATATTCTATTCATTTATGTTTAGTACCCTTGTTTTTAAGTTCTTGAATATTGTTTATAAATTGTTGGCATTGAGATTATCATGAGGTTTATTTTTTTTAAATTGGGAAAGGCTTGAGAATTTTGTATTTAAAAAAAAAGAGGGACCATGAATTTCAAACTACCTGAACAGCTGAATGATGTCCCCTTTTAAAGACTTGATCATTTTCTTCTCATATCCAGAATGTTGAAGCTTTGATCAACAATGTCGCACCCATTGTGATGACTGAAGCTCACGTCCGCAGTTACCTCCACCTGATAGCTGTAGCCTTGCGTGACACAGATCGTGAGACGACCGTCCTGTGTGTGGGTGGACCTGAGTGCCAGGTACTTGCCGCCAGAGATGCCGACTGGCTCCAGTGTGAGAACTGCCGCACATGGTGGCACAGGGCATGTGCGGATCAACCGGCCTCTCGTCCAATTTTCTATTGTAACTCTTGTCATCAAAGAATTTTGGCTGTCAAAGGAAACATTTTGACAGTCAATTCCCAGCCTGAGGAAGAAGAGTGTTTTGACGATGGCAATGAAGATGAGATGGAAGAGACTGCCAATAAAGTGGATGACGATGAGATGGAAGAGACTGCCAATAAAGTGGATGACGATGAGATGGAAGAGACAGCTAATGAAGTGGATGATGATGAAAAGAGTCCAGTTCTGCAAGAAGGAAGTTCTATTGAAGTAGATCATTAAGAATTATCCTAATTACTAGACATTGTATGAATATCTCCAGGACACAATGGGAAAAGACACAAAAGACTTGAAGATGTGCAAGGAGTTAGAGTGGCAGGACCCAGAGAATCTGAAGTTAGGACAGAGCGGCCAGGACGCAGAGAATCTGAAGTTAGGACAGAGCGGCCAGGACGCAGAGAATCTGAAGTTAGGACAGAGTGGCCAGGATGCAGAGAATCTGAAGTGAGGACAGTGTGGCAGGATGCAGAGAATCTGAAGTCAGGACAGAGTGGCAGGATCAAGATAATCTCAAGACAGGGAAGGACAGAAAATAGATGTCATGGCTTCCACTTAGACAGGTGGAGAAGAGGAGAAGAGAAAGTTGTCATACTGTATAGAACTGTATATCATTTTGCTTCTTGTTAGATAGAATGTTAACAAATTAAATGTTCATAAAAAATTGGTAACGTGTACCTACTCAAATCTCAGGCCCATGGAACTTATCCTGACATATCAAATATCTCATGGGACTTACCCTGAGACCTAAAATCTGCTACAATGATTTTCTAATGCAGCAGTATTTGAACACTTGGTTAAGCAATCAGTTTCCCGGTGCTTTTAAAAAGTGCAAGTTGTGTTGATATATTTGAATGGTTGGCCAAAGATGTAAACTCTAGTAATGTTGGTCACCAAAATCTCTAGTCAGTTATCTTTTTAAAAAAACTTATTAAAGATACCAGCATCACTTAAAGGACTGAGAAATGAGAATGTGGGATAAGTTCATAGCTACAACCCATGTGGAGCCCTCCAGGCCTACCAAACGGACACATGGATATTGTTTAGGGCTGTGATGCTTGTAAGTCTTCAAAATACTTGAATGTGACAAAATGCAGTAATATGTTAACTGTTTATGTATGGACATTAATAATCCATTTTTTAAATAAATTTGAAATGGACAAATTACTGTTACTGTCAATAAAAAAAAAATGCCTTTGCAGTCTGTAGATAATTCTTACTATTTCTGGCTATGTTCTTTAAATAGTTCTGTCCTCTTCTGGAAAAATGTTACTAAACTCTTTGCTGTGGCGCAACGCCCAGCCCCTTCTCCCGCCGTTCTAAAAAGCACGGACCAACGCGCTGTGCATTGTTTCAATACCATGTTTGTTTCTTTGCTATTTCTGTGTTAAACTTTTTAAGAGTTATTTTTAAATATAAGAGTGGTACGGTACTTCATTGTTTATCAGCGAAACCAAGGTTTATTTGTTGTCATATGAAGCATTATTTTAATGATTTTCTTCGCTATTTTTTTCTACTGTTGCTATGGCTACCCTAGGCCCTAGTAGGTGAGTAAGTTTCGTGGATGAATAACAGCTCAGATAGCTTTGGAATTGTTTGATAGTATTTCTGGCTACCCTAGGCCCTAGTAGGTGAGTAAGTTTCGTGGATGAATAACAGCTCAGATAGCTTTGGAATTGTTTGATAGTATTTCTTTTGATAGTTACGGTGATTTTTATTGAGATCCATCGCATGATTCCAATAGTAGCAGTAGCAGTAGCAGTTTTAGAGGATTTGAGTTATAGAAGTGAAGATGAGGTATGCGTACATCACAGGGTTTGGGGGGGGGAGGGGGGGGGAAATGGTTTAGCATGAAATGTTTTCACATTTGATGGTTCTTTTCTGTGACTTATTTTATTTAAACTGAAGAAATAAGTTTACAAACACATAGTCCTTAGTCCTTTCAATTACCTTTCATTTGATAGCAAGTTTAGTCTTACAAACCAAAGAATAAGAGTTTTTTTCATTAACCCAACCTCTCATTTTTGGTCGTTCAAAAAATTCCACAGCGAAAGAGTTAAATAGGTCTTGCTTCTTCTGGCTAGATGAAGGAGGGAAAAAGAGAGAGAGGGGGGGGGGGGGTGAAGTCACTAAAAGCTAAAGGGGAGTAATCCCATTTAAATTCGGGATATTTGAAATGAATAACATCCCTTAGACCAGTGGGCGACAGCTCGCGAGCCGCATGCTGGTCTTTGGCTCTACGCATAGAAGCGAACAATCATTTTCTAGCACGAACCTCGCCAAGTAACTTGAGAAATTGTTTTACGGCTGAAAATCTGGAATCCTGCTTGAGATTACAAACGACATGCAAACCAGGCTTATCAAAACTTTCCAAGGAAATGCAAGGTCATAGTTCACAGGTCATAGTTCACATTAAAGGCGAGGTTTATATTTTTTGTCAATAAGATTATTAATATTATACCTGGTTGCATTTAACGTTTAGGAGCTAGTTTAAACCGACTCCGAAAAACATGGCTCTTGAGAAGAAATTTGGCTCTCAAGTTTTTTTTTAAAATCGTTCTTCAGTTGATTTTTGGCCAGTTTGACTAATGAGTTTGTCGACCACTGCCTTAGACCATCTGCCGAGTCCTGAAAACTGTAAATTAATTGTGAAATTTCCTTTAAAAAAATATAATAATCAAATAGCACAATACTTAGAAATACTTGGTCAATGCTTTATTGCTTTCAAAGCCAGCCTTGGGTAAACTTTCGCCCTTTGCGAGGCACCCGTTCGGCGCCCCCTTCTCGTTCCATGTATGGCTCCGCTATTTTTCCGATTGCGACACAGGCCACGGAGCACGTGTTATGATGCTATACATGTCGCTAACCATACGCATTTTAACATGCACATTAGTTTAGACCAGTGGTTCTTAACCTTGTTGGAGGTACTGAACCCCACCAGTTTCATATGCGCATTCACCGAACCCTTGTTAATAGGAAAAATAAAATATGATTTTTTTTTTCTGATTTTTTTTTGGACCTCCGCCGAACCCCTGAGCGTGACTCACCGAACCCCTGGGGTTTAATCGAACCCAGGTTAAGAGTCACTGGTCTAGACTGTTTAGTTGTTCTACCGTACTTCACACTTCACCATAATAAACCAAGGGAATTTAAATATTAACTGGGCGCCCCTATGCGAGGGCACAGGTCGCACACCCAAAAATGCCGGCATTGTTGCTTTGACTTTTGACGAACTTGATGGCAAGATTTTTTTTAAAATTGAGTTCCGGTTCTCGATCCGACATAGACTTGACAAAGTTTAGACATGTCAAACAAGTTCTGTCACAAACAATAAGTAGAAAACAACATATCGAAAAAGAAAATTTAATAGTATATTTAAATTGAATATTGTTAATGTAAATACGCTAGATATCGTTTGTCCTTGACATTGTAAACTGGTTTTCAGTCCTTTGTTAAGGGCCCAATCTTATAACAGATTAAATGTACAATAACCATATAATGGTACGTAACAACCTCCGCCACCAACCATATTAATGAAAACTACAATGTAAAGAAAATGCATAAAGTCATCAAGAAAGAAAAAAATGTACCAGTATATGAATGTAATTTATACGTGCAAGATATATGAAGGGAATTGTGATATATCCCTTATAATAGACACTATATACCGGTACACCAGCCTGCAGGCAAATCCTTTTATTGAGTATATTATACTATATACACCCTTCTACAGTCTTATCTATTTATATAATTTGCCAGCGAAACTAGGGCAAGAAGACGACGACGCAGGCAAATATAGATACGCCAGAGCAAGCAAGACGCAGGCAAACCCTCCTTTCCCTTGCCTGCCCATCGTTGGTCTCGAGACATGAGCACTGCGGTGGAGCTACCGCCTCCCCCACCTGCACCACCCTCGCTTGCCATCCATGCGCACACCCCAACAAGCTTGCGGCGGCGTATGCTAAGCCGCGGGTCGGCTATATTTATATAGTCTAGTTCATGGGCGTGAAATTAAAAGTGTGCAGATCGTATCATGAAAAAAAAGTTGGGGGGGGGGGAGGGGTGGGGGGAAGGGGTTTAGCAAAAATTGGCATTCTTAAATGTGAGTACCACATTTTTGTCAAGTAACTTAAGTAAATGGGAAGTTCACGCATTGCCGTCGCCAATGTTTGGCGGGCTATATCTAGTCCTTTTATAAAGTATATCCCTAATACCAATAGGAAGCTAGTCCTAACTTTTACCTCTCGTCTACTTACACGTAGCATGGGGGGATAATCCCCCCTTTTTTTTTCGTCATTCCGTTTTTTTTTTTTTTTATACTCTTATATCCTTTAAACACTTGAATAAAAAAATTTATTGGAATAAAAAAAAACAAAACCTTTAATTTGCTTTTTTAATCGTATTGGGTTTTAGAAAATGTTGAAATTTTGATGAAATGAAATTTTTTAATATAATTCAATATATCTTTCTTTTTTTTTTTTTTTTTGACATGTAAGTAGTACAATAATTTGAAGTTCTCCCATGGAAAGCAATATTATGAAATATTAACATATATCATACACAAAGATTTGAGTCCTGGGTCGAATGATGGACAAAGACCTAAGACTAGACTGAGTCAAGTTATGGTCAAAGACCTAAGACTCAAAGACTGAGTCAAGTGAGGGTCAAAGACCTAAGACACAAAGCCTTGAGTTGAATGATGGTCAAATACCTAAGACACAAATCATTGAGTCGAATGATGGTCAAAGAACTAAGACACAAAGACTGAGTCAAGTGATGGTCAATATGTAAGACACAAAGATTTAAAGTTGAATGATGGTCAAAGACCTAGGACACAAAAACTCGAGTCGAATGATGGTCAAAGACCTAAGACACAAAGACTGAGTCAAGTGATGGTCAAACACCTAAGACACAAAGACTGAGTCAAGTTATGGTCAAAGACCTGAGACACAAAGACTCAGTCAAGTGATGGTCAAAGACCTAAGACACAAAGCCTTGAGTTGAATGATGGTCAAAGACCTAAGACACAAAACCTTGAGTTGAATGATGATCAAAGACTTAAGACACAAAGAATTGAGTTGAATGATGGACAAAGACCTAAGACAAAAAGACTGAGTCATGTGATTGTCAAAGACCTAAGACACAAAGACTGAGTCAAGTGACGTTCAAAGACCTAAGACACAAAGACTTGTGTTGTGTGTTGGTCAAGATTGGCACGAAGTTTTTACCAATCAACCCACCCAACCTCACACCCAACCCAGCCCCACCCCCCCACCCCAACCCCATTATGTCGTCAGTTCATTTCTTCTCTGTTATTGCCAGGTGTCCTCTGGCGCCAATTTAACTCACATCGGTGTTTTGATAAGCATCGTGACGTCCTCCGAAATAATCGGGAAATCCGTCGAAATAAGCCTGGCTTCGGAAGAGTTTTGTGACCTTTAACCCCGTTTTATTCAATTTTAGCATTAGCTAAATGGCAACCATTGTTGTGATTGTTGCTCCGACCGTTAGGTCTTGGGGGATAGTTAATTTTTTATATACTTATGTCAGTCAATTTGGTTTGGTTTCTTACGGTAATAAAACATCACCAGCACTTTGGTCTATACTAATTCATGGCTCTCAAATCTGCTACTTTGATTGTGTCCTTCGAGGTAACGTGGCGAACAATCTCGAAACAAAAAAGTAATGAAACTTCCAATTTTCCACTCTAAATTATTTAAAATGGATGATCACATGCATCTGATAGGATGACTAATGGACCCACTTACCGTCAACCCATCGAGCTGTAACTGGGCGCATAGATTCGTTGCCAATGACAACATATTCTTTCAGATTTTCAGCCCCCTGCCCACCCCCCCCCCCCCCCCCCCCCACCCCCCCCCCC